TTGTAGAGCGCGACATCACTCAATCCTTTCCAGGGGAGAATTGGATTGAGTCCCCTCATCAGGGTTATTGACAGAAGAATGTGATGGGACATCATCCCCAATACTGCTCTTACTGTAGAATTTTTGGTCATAGCTCTTCATCTTGTTATCGGTTGCATCCCCATCTATGGTCGGCTATAGCCTCACCTCCTGTTTCTCAGCACATTTTTGCGGAAGTTATACCCTCTTCCTCACTGCCTGTGATACCTACTGCTATGCCCATGGCGGATACGGTGCAAAATGGTTTGTCTACTGATATTGTTTCAGAAAATGTTGATAAGAGTTGTTTGTTAGAGGAGAGTCAGGCGGTTGCCCCTGGAAGGCAGGACGCGGTCACTGCCTCTTCTTCTATTGGAGTGGACATACTTTCCTCTTAGGTTCTACCTATCGTGGAGTGTGCTCAGGCTCCCCTCTATGAGGTGATTGAAGATAGAGATGAAGCGAACATTCACATTCACATGACAGAAAATGTGTCTCCTAATACTAATGAGGAAGATTTAGAGTCAAACACAAACCATCTTACTGCTATTAACCAGTTGGTAAAACTACCTATTGAGAGAGCAAGTGTTTCCCAAGTATTGGAAGATTGCCCTACACAAACTCAGGAACTCATCGCTGCAACTGTCTTTCCTTCTACAGATCAGACAGAACAATTTTCAGAAGAAGAATGACAAGTTTATATTTCTCTGCGGAGAAAGAAGGCTGGAGACACTGTTCAGCTTGGAAACTTAATGGATGATACCTTGATCACTCATGACAATGGAACAACACTTCAGAGTTTGCTATCTAGATCTGCTCCAAGAACTAGAGGAAGAGGCAGATCTAAACTGTCTCAAACTGTCTCGTCCATATACACTTGTTTTTGCATGTTTTCTTTTTCATTTTTAAAGTCTTTTGTATTCTTTTGTTGGGATATTTTTGTACCATGTATCATATGAGTAGGGCATCATTCATTGGGTCCTCTCATACAACATTTTGTATTCTTTTTTATTTCAATATATATATCCTAAAAAACTTTTGTCCATGTCGCCGTCCCGCTCTGCTAAGGTTCCGCTCCATGGCGAACCCTAGCGATTTACTAGCGTCTTCGTCTGCTTCCATTCGCGACGTCTCGCGTTTGCGTTCTCATCTCGTCTGACGACAGTGTTGTGGTCGTCTTTGTCCGCGACAGAGGCGCTCTGCTGCGTCTCGTCTGCGACAGAGCCGCTCGACAACTCTCGTCTGCAACAGAGTCGCTCTGCTGCGTCTCGTCTGCTACATATCCGATCGATTCTGCTGCGTCTCCTCTGCGACAGAGTCGCCCGGTCTGCTCGGCTCTGCCTTTGTCGTCTACGACAGAACCGCAGAACCGTTCTACACGCGTGCAGCTTCTCACTGTGCTGCAGGTTGGCACTGGCTACGGTAATGGCCTCATGGCTTTCCTACGCCGCCGCGCTTGCCGGTGATAACCCCGCCAAACCCTCCTATGCTACTGTGGTTCACAAACGCAACTCCTTTTTCCACCTCGCAGATCGTGTAGTATTCCCGTAGATTTACCATGATTCTGTTGCAGGAAATAACGATTGCAATCTCATTAAAAAAGTAGAGAAAAAGACGGGCAAACCAGCAATTTTCTTTTATGACGCTGAAATTTCAACTTGTGCAGGAAAATACAAATTTACACTAGTTGGAAAGTTCCAATTAGGTTGCCCTAAGATGAAGATCATCATGAGGGTTTTTGAAGATTTCAAACTGGTTGGGGATTGACAAGTGGGTCATTTCGACGGAATACATGTTATGATACAATTGAGCACAGAAGATTATTGCACGAGGATTTTTCAAAGAAAATTCATCACAATTGAGGGTAAACACATGAAATTGCTCAAATGGACCTCCAATTTTGATCCCAGTCAAGAACCCCCAATTGCACCTATATGGTTCTCATTACCTGAACTCAAATTTCAATTTTTTGACCTACCTATCTTATATGCAATTGGGACTATCATTGGAAAACCTTTGCAGGTAGACGTAACTACAGTTCATTTCTCAAGGCCCTCTATTACAAAGATTTTGATTAAACGAGATATTACACTACTAGATGTAGAAGAAGTTTAGCTTGGATCTGCTCACAATGATTATTGACAAAAAATCATTATGGAACAAAAACCATACTACTGCAAGCACTGCAAGATGTTCGGACACCCGCAGGAGAAATGTTTCAGATTACACCCACAGTTGAGAACCCATAGTCAAAAACACGAACACACTATTAGTGCATCACATGTGCCTGAATGCGCTCCCAAAAAATTTGATGACAGACAACCTGAGGAGGGAATCACCACAAGATCGGAGTTGGTGTCTACCCCTGAAATCCCTTCTCCTGACCACACTACAACAGATAATGTTCGAACTGAAAAATAGGATAATCCCGTAGCTTCTATTCAGAAAGCATCAGGTGCAGAGGTAAAAATTCACACTTCACATACACTGGAACCTATCGCGGTGCCAACGACTGCCTTTCCTCCTACTGCGGTGCTAACATCAAATCAGATCGAGGATCACATGAGTCAGTCTTCAGATGAAGAATGACAGGTTTACAGTTCTCGGCGGAAAAAGGCTGAGGGCTCACTCCAACTTGGAAACTTAATGGATGATACGTTGGTGACTCATGACAATGACACGACTCTTCAAAGTTTGTTATCTGGTTACACTCCTAAAATTAGAGGAAGAGACATGACTAAACTGACTCGTCCCTAACTACTTGTTTTCTGCATGATTTAAATTTGTTTTACATTTTATTGAGTCTATCTGCATCTTTTGTCGGGGTATACTGTACTTGTATCGTATGGTAGGGTGCCTCTTTTGGGTTCTTATCATACAACTTTTATATATCATCTGCTAAGGTTTACTCCCGTCGCGTCTTCATGGCGACTCGAGTAGCCCTCGTTATCTCTTCGCCGGATCAAAATCGCAGCCTGCTCCATCAACTTTGTCGTCTGCTACTTCGTCTATTCCTTCGTCGCGCTTCGCCTGCCTCGAATTCGTCTGCGTCAAATTCGTCTGCTCGACTCCGTCTGCTTTGACTCCGCCTCCCTCAGCTTCGCGACTCCATCTGCTGCATCGTTTCCGCTTCGTACTTCGTCGTGCCTTGACGAAATTGCAGCCTTTGCGCCTGCGCCGTCTTCTTCTTCAAGCCCGATAGACTGCTTCGCCACATCGACCTGCTCGACTGCTTGCGTTGTTCGTAGGCGGCAGTTTTGCTCGCCTATTTCCAGCAGCTTTGGAGATGGCATCCATATGATCCGCTCCTATGCCACTACACTTGCCGACGACATTCTTATTCCTATTCGTGCTTCTCTTTCAAGTTCAGAGTCTGGTTTTCATATTGGCAAGTCCCGCAATGTTCCTCAATCTTTTTACGACGCTCGACGCTCTTGAAGGTGGTGGTGATCACACATTCATAAAAAAATTAGGAAAAAAAATGGGAAGCCTGCACTTATTCTCACAGAGGTTGAAACTAGTACTCTCGCATCCTCCTGGCGCTTTGCTCTAGTGGGGAAATTTCTGTATGGTCACAAAAAACTGGAGATCATTCGGAAAGATTTTGATGTTATGAAGCTATTAGGCAGTTGGAATATTGGTTTACTTGAGGTCGTCACATACTGATTCAGTTGTCTCATGATGTCGATTACACTCGCATCTTTTCTCGGAAAATTATCAAGATCGACAACCGTTATATGAAAATTCTGAAGTTGACTGTTGGTTTCGACTCAAAAGCGGAGTCCCCTATCATTCCAGTCTGGATTAAATTCTCGGGGTTAAAATTACATCTATTCAACTTGAAAATTCTCTGCTCTTTAGCAACTGCTTACGGTAAGTCTCTCAGGGTTGATAGTCCTACGCTTGCTGTCACCAGACCCTCTGTGGCTTGTGTATTGGTTGAGAGGGATATCACTCAACCAGCTCCGGATGAGGTATGGATTGGAACCACTCACAATGGGTAATGACAAAATGTTGAAATCGAATCACACCCTCCTTATTGCTCTCATTGTAGTATGTTTGGCCACAGCTCTACTATTTGATATTGTTTGAATTGTCATCTAAGGCCGAATATCACTAAAAAACAACCGCCTATTATCCTTGTTGAGAAGATGCAACCCGATTCTCTTCTCAACACCGCAATTCCTGACGAAGAACAACATACTACAGCTACAGATCCAATTGTGTTATACCACCCACTGTTATTGAAGAAGACTCACATACATGTCAAGAAACACGAGATAACTCTTTTGATCCAATAACAGATCAACCGGTATAGCATGTATTTGCTTTTAATGTTAAAAAATTTACACATCTCCAACACACTTTAGAACAAGATCAGGTGAGCCAATCCTCGGAAGAGGAATGACAAGTCTATTCCAGGAGAAAGAAAAAGAATGGAGGCCGACTCCAGCTCGGGAACATTTTGGATGATACATTGGTTACTACTAACAATGACAATCATCTTACCAACTTATTAGCTTGCTCTTTTCTTAGAACCAGAGGCAGAGACAAAACCAAATTTGGTTGCTATCTAGCCACCTGATACTATTTATTTCAACATTTTTAGACTTATTCTTTATGTCTCTAATGTATTTTTCTGTATTTTTTTGTTTTGGAACCTCTTGTGGTTTTATTTTTACACACACACATCTCTCTCTCTCTCTCTCTCTATATATATATATATATATGTTGATATAATATCAGGATAGATTTAAAAACAGTTGGATTAAGTTTGAGCTCTGTACAATGTGTGAAGGGCTTAAATTGCACTCATCTCAAAACATAATCCAGTTATTTTCAAGTCCATCCTGAAAAAATTTACATGAGGATATCGTAACACATTTCTTCTATATGTATGTATGCATGTATATATATGTGTGTGTGTGTGTACATAAACAGATATATAGACGAGCTTAGAGCCACAATTGCCAAAATCTAACCTCCATGTCTTCGTCTTCTTGCTCATCATCTGTCTCATCAGCATCACTTCCACTGTTGCTTTTTTCATCTTCAGAATCTTCATCCTCGTCCTCAGAAATCTCTAGCCATTCAGATTCAGAAGCCTAACACAATCAATGACAACTCAAAGTAGTTAAGCTTAATATACACCAGTTTCAACAAATCATAAAATTTTACATATGGCAGAGTTAATATGACATAATTACTGCAAATTTCAATACATTGAGGCTCCAAGAGCAATTCGTAGCTCTACAAGTCATGTGGCTCGAATATCAAACTAAAGTTTAACAGAAACAGCAGTCATAAGGTTGATCAACGATAACTTTTTCATTATTGTTATGATTTACGGTCATGAAAAAAAATGAGAGAAAATCACAACTATATCACATGAAAAATCACACTAGCTTCAGGCAGTACTAAAGACAGGTTGTTTTTCAAAAAGAAATTCATCCACATATTAAGGGGATTAAAACTATAAAGATTGAAAAAAAAAAATTACAAAATAAGACAAAAGCAACTATCATATCCTTTGAGGCAAACAAATCGCTTAGTACTCATCAAATAGCACATTAAAAAGTCACACATAGGTTATGGCAAATAGCAGAATGAATTGGAAAAACCAAGTCTAAAGGATAGCAAGACAGAGACAAAGAGAATGAATGTAAAAATAAAGTAAAAATCTTTGTACCGGAATTATGCACTTCCACTCATCAAGTTTACTGAGATTAAGTGAATATAAGTCATCTAACGTAATTTCTCTATCTTTGATTTCCATCATCCCTCCATACACGTAGAGTGTATCCCTTGCCACAACCATGCAGGAATTAATGCGTCCACAAGGCCTGACTACCTACAATTTCAAGCAAACGGCCATTAATCAACACGAGCATGTTACATCTAATTTCAAATGAGAAGCATAACGACTCACCTCTGATGGAGGAGTTGCTTGCATATCGGAAGCACTACCTAATCCCTGTACTTTCACATCATGTATCTTGCTTCCAGATACAGCATTTAGGCAAAGATTGTTATCAATTTGATGAGAAAGATTTTTAAGTCCAGATTGCATAACAGCTTGTTCAAAGCCTTCCACATTCTCATCCTCTTCATAAGTGATACTCAACTGTGAATCCTGTTGGTTGATTGTATTAGAAGCTGATATTCCTTTTAAGCCTTCACATTTGCTGCCCTTTAATTAATTAAAAAAGTTAACATTCAGTCTAAAATTTTTTAAGCGAAATAAGAAAAACTATCATTGCTACCTATCTTTACTGGAGCTGTAGATGTTTGTTTTCTAATAGAAGAATACAAACCATCAATAGTATGCTAGCAGGTTCGACAATATTTCATAATCATTAATGTAAAGAAGGCAACATTTTGTTTCGAAGATCGCAATAGGTTAAAGAAAATATAAATTATTGGATATTTAGAATATTGTTGGATATTTAGTATAAGCTACTATTAGTATTTTCTATTTTTAATTGTTGAAATTCAGAATACTACAAAATATATTTATTGATTGAAAGTGGGTATAAATAAACCTTACATGAATCCTAGAATAGGAAAGAAAATAAAAAGAAATAACAGGAAAGAAAATATATTAACACCTAATATTTCAAATTAATCAATTCATATTAATTATTTGGAGATAAAAGAAACAACATAAAATAAGAATGCCTAAAATAGGAAAGAAAATAAATCAAATTCAAGAAAATAAATCTAAAATAAGAAAAAAAATAAAATTATATCAGGCTTAAGTCTAATCCTCAGAACTTCTAATAAAAATAAATTATTTCCTAATATAACTTCTGACACTTTCCGTCAAGTTAAAACATGATTGAAAATCATATTCAACTTGGATTTGAAAGCATCAAACAACGAGTGAGGAAGATTCTGTAGAGCAGAACTCGAAATCTTCATACCATAATGCGGTTGTTTTTTACTGCAGTTCCTGTAGTGTCTGTAGGTAGGAGGAAGACTCCTACATATAATGTTGAAAATGGGAGTTTGTAGGGAAGGAGACAACATGTAGGAAAAACCAACTTCTAATTGATTGTAGTTGTCTTTGACTATAGTTTTTGCAGTGTCTGTAGGTAGGCAGAATGCTCCTACAAGTAATCTACAAAGAAGTTTGCAAAGAAGTAGATAACATGCAGAAAAAATTGTTTTCTAGTTGATTGCGATTGTCTTTGATTGCAGTTCTCGCAGTGTCCGTAAGTAGGCGGAAAACTCCTCCAGATAATGCTGCAGGAGAGTTTGCAGGGAAGTAGAAAACCAACAGAAAAAGCTGCAAAGTCTGACTTGCAGAAAAAGGAAATGCTTCGGAGGTAGGCTGCAAGAAAAGCTTTGGAGGGCTTGATACAAAAAAATCTCTGCAGGGCTTGAAAGAGAAAAATGCTCTGGAGGGTATGCTGCAGAAAAGATTCCAGAGGGCTTGATGCAGAAAAAAATTCCGGAGAATGGCCTGATGCAGGAAAAAGACACAGGAGGACCTACTGCAGGAAGAATCCGGTGGAGGACCTATCGCAGGAAAAACTCCGAATGAGGGCCTGACACAGGAAAAAGCTCTGGAGGAGGGTCTGTTGTGGGAAAGATTCCTGAGGGCTTGATACAGGAAAAAGTTTTGGAGGAGGGTCTGATGCACGAAAAAGCTCCAGAAGAAAGTCTACTGCAGGAAGAATTTTGGTAGAGCAACTGCTATAGGAAAAGCTCCAGAGGAGGGTCTGGTATTGGCAAAAACTCCAGAGGAGGGCCTGTTGGATGAAAGCTCCGGGGGAGAGTAAGTTGCAAGAAAGATTACGAAGGGCTTGATGCAGGAAAAAAATTTAAAGAAGGGCTTGATGTGGAAAAAGTTTCGGAGGAGGGCCTAATGCAGGAAAAGACTCTCGAGGATGGTCTGCTGTAGGAAGAATTCGGTGGAGGACCTGTTGCAGGAAAAGTGTCGGAAAATACCTGCTGCATCGATTGCAACCAATACTTTCCTCCTTATTGGGCTTTGACAAAGAAAAAACTTTCAGTTGCAACGACTTTATAACAAAGCAAAAATAGCTAATGGAAGCATCAAGATTGCTTGCCCCCATAATGCATGACGTCAATGGAGACCACTCCCAACCATTCCACCATATATGTAACCAAGGGCAATGCCAAATGGGATACACATGTAGAAAGCTGCAAGCTAAGCTGTTTTCTGTGATACAGGTGAATTGTCATCAATAGATAGAGCTGCGAGGCATATGAATGAAGCTTCACTTTTTGCTAAGGGTGCAAAAATTGGAGATGCCACTAGAGGTCCAACCATAAACGCAGATGAGAGGACACCATCTTCAAAATTGTTGAGCCTGAAGTCACCTTGAGTTCCACCTCCGGATATGCAAATACTGCTCTCTGTGCATGTGCTTTGGCTACCATTTACACCATTGCTTGCAATCACTCCTCGATCAACATAATCCAACATATCGATAACACAGATCATCATGAGCCACGAAAGCTTCTCATCATTGTCAACGCTAGGCTCCTGCCCGTCGCAGCGTAGCAAGACCGCGATTGCCATTTCCTCCAGGGGTGAAGCAGTGGCAGTGGTTGACAGGGAGGTCTGACGACTATAAAATTCAGTGAGAGGGATAAGTAGGTGAAACCGAAAATTTTACTGGAGAGGAAGTCACCCATTGCAAGGTCGGGATTTACGCTAGAGAGAGAAAGTTGCCCAGGGCTGCAAGGATCTGCTCCAATGGTGAGGGCCTCTGGACAGCCTGCAGGATGGCAAGAATGGAGTCCAGCGGCTAGTATAGAGAATTTGACTTTGATATCATGTTGAAATTCAGAATAATACAAAATATTTTTATTGATACGAAAGAGGAATAAATAACCATTATATGAATCCTAGAATAGTAAAGACAATAGAAAAAAATAACAGAAAAGAAAAGATATAACATCTAATATCTTCAATTAATCAATTCATATTAATTATTTGAAGATAAAGAAAATAATGTAAAATAGGAAAGCGTAGAATAAGAAAGAAAATAAATCCAATCCAAAAAACAAATCTAAAATAGAAAAGGAAATAAAATTATATTAGGAAATAAATCTAATCCTCATAACTTGAAATATAAATAAATTACTTCCTAATATAACTTCTACTATTAGTATCGTCTAGTATTGGCATGTCACTATTCCTGTTTCCTTCTTTTATCATGGAAGTTATGGTTGATATTATTGTTTTCTCCATATAGGAGCCATCCTCTATTTAACTTGTAATTGTGTTTCTATGAAATTGAAGTGGAGCAAATATTTTTCCTCTCCTAAAAACTACATATAGTATAAGAGCAATAATAGGTTAGCCCTAGAATTGTTTCATTTTTTCGGTTCAAGCTTGTTCCAACTTCCCTGACATTATCGTTCTCTTCCTGCGCGATCTGTGAAAAGATTGCATGAATTTATTTATGTTTTGCACATTTTTTTGAATGAAATTGCATTTTAAAGAAATGTATTTTTATATTTTTCTTGCAGATATAATATGTATTAGGAATGAAACGAAGTAGAATGAACATGGAGCGAAAAGAAGAAGATTTGGAGAAAAAACGGACTTGAGAAGGCTGAGGCCATGGCACTAGGAGCTGGGAGCCAGTTAACTGAAGGCAAGTCTATGGCACCAGATCAAAGTGGGGCTTAGGCGTTAGATACCCAAGAGCAACCAGAGAGGCTGGCGCTTAGGCAGCAATACTGGGTGCTATAACCCCCATCCTGAAATCCAAGGCCATGGCGCCAGAATGGAGCGACACCTAAGTTCCAACACCGAATTATGCACGGTTTTGGGCAGTTCAAGCCATCTATTCGAGGCGGTTTTTGGGCGAACCAAGACAATTTTGGGGAGTTATTAAAGAGGACTTACGAGAGGAATACAGGAGGAGATGAAAGGGGGCAGGATGAAGAACTCTGGAGCAGCATTTTGGTTAGAGAGGCAGTTTTGAGAGAAATTTTCCTCCACTATTGTGAGAGTTCTTAGGCTTGTTCTAAGTAAGTCTAGGTTGTGAGTTGTGTGATTTGTATTTACTGTTGTGTAAAGAGTTGCGGGAGAAGAGCAAAGGGCTTGGGTGGAGCATTCTCAAGGGAAATTGAGGGAGAGAGATGAGCATATTTATGATTTGGGTTAGTATTTTTCTCAGAACACTTTCGCATGTTGAATCATGTGCATCATGTTCATGCGACAAGAAAGCTATCATAAGCATTGCAGAAAATCCTGTGCATCATGATCACATAAAGCATGTGGAGATTGAAAGATACTTCATAAAAGAGAAGATTGATTGTGGAGTTATTTGCATGTCACTTATCCCTACTGCTCAACAAACAATGGATATCTTTACAAAATGACTATTCAAGCCTAATTTTGAGGTTCTTGTAAGCAAGTTGGGCATAACATATATCTATGCTCCTACTTGAGGGAGAGTGTTGGATATTTAGTATCTCCTATTATTAAAATTCTTAATTTTTATTATCGTCTAGTATTGATATTTCATTATTTTTGCTTCTTTCTTTTATTATGGGAGTTATGTATGATATTAATGTTTTCTTAATATGGGAGCCATCATCCTCTTATTTAACTTGTAATCGCGTTTCTAAGATATTGAAGAAATAATTATTTTTCCTCTCCCAAAAATTATATTATATATATATATATCATGGCGTCGTCTTCTTCGTTTACGCTCTGCTAGGGTTTCACACCATTATGGCGAACCCTGGTTTCTGCTCCACTGGTCGTGCTTGCTCTTTTGTTGTTTTCTTCTGCTTCGCGCAACATCCCGCTTTCGTCGTCTGCAGGCTGAGGGACTCAAGACTCATTCGACATCGTACGTCTTGCGGCTTTGACTCGACCTTTTCTGCGGGCGTCTGGCTCTCGTCTGCAGGCTGAAGGGCTCGGGCTTCTGCGGTGTAGTGGAGTCTTGCTTCGAACCGACGCACGTCTCTGCTCCCTTTACGTCTGCTCGTGACTGTCAGCTTCATCAGACTCTCTGCTTCGCATTTGGTTTCGTTCATGACTATTTGCTTCGACAGGTACAATTCCTCCTCTTTCAGCTGAACTAGGGAAAGTCTCTTTGGTCGATGTGTTGGGTAACCATCTGGAGGAGTTGGTTGTTGTCTTCCCAACTTGTTATAAGGAATGTCGTGATGGTACATGTGACTACCCTTTTATTAAGAAGGTGAGTAAAAAGGGTAGGAAAGCAACTCTTTTTCTCTGATTTAGAAATCTAAATCTTGACTAAGAAATTCAAGTTCGTTCTTATCGAAAAATTTTAGTGGGGGAACTTCCTTATGAAAGTTATCAGAAAGAATTTTGAAGATCTCAAACTAATATGAAAGTGGGAAATGAAACTTCTTGATAGGAGGCATGTGTTGATTCAGTAAACCAAGACTAAAAACTACCTCGAATTTTCTTTAAAAAATATCTTAACATTGCAGGAAAGTCGATGAAGTTGCTCAAGTGGTCTCCTGATTTTGACCCAAGACACGGGCCTCCTACTGTATCGATATAGTTTACTTTACCTGGTGTCAAGTTGCACCTATTTAATCATCAGATTCTCTACTATATTGGGGCCATAATTGAAGATCCTATGAAGCTAAATCTACCCACCTTCAATCTGACCAGACCTTCTGTTGCTAGAATACTTGTGGATATTGCTAGAAAGGGATATTACTTTACCTGATATTATAGAAGTCAATGAATATTGGCAATAAATTGTTATGGAACATAGACCCTTTTATTGTAACCATTATAAGATGTTTGGGCATCCCCTTGACAAATGTCACGAACTTCACCGTAACTTGAAACCTAAAGCTGAAATGAATAAGGATGAGTCTAACCCACCGCTCTGGACACATCTGCTCCACCTGTGAAGGGATTTACCAAAAGACAAAAGTTGGTGTCTTAATTGCCCTCGAGGACCCCCCTCATGACAATAATGTTTCTATTACTGTGATCGATGTGCTACTGAATGGTTCTGCCATGCAACCTACAGCTTCAAACCTTTTTGAAATCAATACTGAAGGATCCTTTACCCACAAGGGACAATGTTCGGACTGATAATCAGGATAATCTTGCAGCTCCTCATCTTCAAGAAGCATCAAGTGCAGAGGAGACAGTTCAGACTTCACACACACTAAAACCTATCGTTGTTGGAAATCTTTCTACTGTGGTTCTACCACCTCATCATAACGAGCAAGTTGTTACTGTTAGTCAGGCGCAAGAAGCTCATCAGATTATACATGCCCGACATTCTGTTGACCAACACGCTGATCAGATAAGCCAGTCTTCGGATGAGGAATGACAGGTTTACACATCCAGACGGAAGAAAAAAATGGAGGCCTTCTCGAGCTCAGGAACTTTATGGATGACACGTTGGTTACTTCGGGTAATGGCACGCATCTCACCAATTTGTTAGCCGGCTCCCATCCTACGACTAGAGGCAGAGGCAGGACTAAATTGACTAGCCCCTAATATGCGTTTTGACAGTTTTTGGTTTTTTGAGCTTACATGTACCTTTCTTTTTGGGGATTTTGTGTGTTGTACCGTGTGGGTGGGTGCCTTTTTTGGGCCCACTCACACAACCTATCTGTATCTTTTTTATTTTAATATATTTGCCCTCGAGTTATATATATATATATATATACTATTTACCCTCGAAAATTGATACAAAATTTCATTTTTTAATGATAAAAAGAATTTTTATCTTTTGTATGAAGTTTATGCAGAGGAAATCTAAATATGACAATTAAACAGTACATGCATTCATTTTCATTATGATGACCATCCTCCTTATTTTCATCCTTTTATTAAATTTCAATAAACTAATTGGCAATTCATTTCCAAGATTATTCACAGTTCAGCAAACTTCTGGTGCAGGTAGATTATTGTTCATGATTGTTAAACTTTTTTCAGCATTCATTTTAATAACCAAAAAATTAAGTAAATTTAGTTGAACTATAAACTTTACTATTTAGCTAAAAAAAAATTATATGAGGTATATTCAATCGGATGAATTCTATCCTCCTTTATTACATCATGCTTCAACTAGTAGAGGAGATCGTCATTTGGGTGACAATTAACTTATATTTGATAATTCCCGTGAGATCAATGAATTACAACAAACGGAAAAAAAAAAGAAATATAGGTTAAGACATGACAAGTTCATTTTATGACTAGACACTTAGATGCAAAGATAAATTTAATGGCCGCACCATCAAATTTTGTTCTAAACATTTAGCAATTCCTATGATCATAATCATTATTCATATAATTGGCGATTGATAATGTTTAAATAATTTAAATAATGATAGCATGCATGATATTTATTTTCTGTGAACTACTGTGATATAGAACTATAACTGTTCAAGTGTGTTATTTTGAAAATTCATTTTATTGTTTAGTTAATAATTAAGAACTAAACGAGTGAAAAAAATTCAGTGTATTGCAGGCTTAGCAATATGAGCAAGCTGTTAGAATTATTTAAGTTTTAATTTAATTTACATTGTATACTTTAGTGACTCTTTTGATTTATCAAAAAATACTAATTGTTAAAAAGAAGTTTGAATAGTTATTTTCTTTTGCATCAGTAATAGTAAAAGAAAACATTTAATTATTTTCCTTCTCATCATGTGCTTTCATCTTACTAATTACAAGCTCTCAAATTAAATTGTGACATTCATAAACCAATATTTATAATCGACAGTGATTTTGAAGGTGTGCTTCATGTGCAAAACAAAGCATGTGATGCTGCTTCACATCATTTAAGCGTGTTTTGAAGCGCTAAAACTTAACACTCGGTCCGATTCACAGTTTAGCAAGACGAAATAAAAGGGCCACCGAGTTAATTTAGCTTATTTTATGAAACATGAGACTTTATTATTTTATGTATGCTTTAAAAATTAAAATTAATTTTGAGTTATAAGATTCTTTTTGCAATTTCAAGTTTTAAATTATTAAGCAAACTATTAGAAATTGTTCGAAGTTTTAATTTGCAGGTTTTCCCTCAATATTTGCTTTTTTAAGTTAGGTATTGCATCACATTCTTTTCCATTTTATATTAACTTTTAAGTTTTAAATCATGTTATATATATTTTATGATTGTTAATGAAAGTATATATACATAAATAGTTTTATATAGCCTATTAGTGCTTTAGTTAATAAAAATACTGTTTTGCCCAGCGCTTTGAAGCAAAAATAAAACTTTATGCATCGCATTGCGCATTGCTCTTTGATAATACTTATAACTGGTTATTTTAACTATTTCGAGTAGGCCTCCTAAATGGCCACTCATCTTTGAAAATAAACATATATCATATTTTCCATGCATATTATTAATAAACTGCAGCTGAATTTTGCTGTTTTTAAGTAATGCATGTATAACAGTTAAAGTAATGGTGATATCACGGTACCTTATCTTTCGTAGATTTCTCCTTTCGTAGTTCCAAAGGATACCTAAGGCAAGTGCACCGAACAATCATTGATAGTTTACAATATCATTTGAAATAATAATTATGCAAATTTTAAAAAAAATTTAAAGAACAGGCATATTATAAAAACATTTCACTAAAAGTAAAGACATGATTCATTATTAACATGTAAAACATATTCGACATGATAAGCCAGCCAAGATACTAACGTCATACCAAATAATTTTTTAAAATGCCCTGGGTTGAAGGTACAGATACTAAAACAAAAAGTTGCTTCAAAGTTCCACGCAAGAACATGTGCAAGGTAATACCAACATGAAATGCAACAGCATTCAAATCCATAGAAAATACTTCTCATTTCAAAGGTGAAAACTAAAAGCACAATGCCAACAGGAAAACTTTATATCTAATTCCAGAATGTACCTGCAATGCTACGGGGTATAACCTCCTCGTAAATGCATGCCCGAATAATGAAGGAAATAGAAAAAATAAAAAATAATAATAATAAAAACAGCACCTTAACCAGACATCGTTTTTTAAAACAAGCTTAGTCTACAAATATTCAGCCAGCAATCCCATAGGTTATAATTCCTTCCAGTATATTTATTCAAAGAAGACTTCCATACCTACCCCTCAAATCCTATGTATTTACATATCTAACACCTAAACTTCAATTTTTACATATATGTCACCTTAACTATGCAAAAAAAGGGTGTATTTCACTTTTTAAAAGTTATAATAGTGGTATTTTTTATATGCTATGAATATTTGGATGGTATAACTGTAAAAAGTAAATTTTAGGTGTCAGATTTATAAATTCATAGCAATTGAGTGGTATGTACATAAATGCCTCTTTATTCAAAAGCCTATTAAAACAGTCCAAAAGTAGATCAGACAGTGATGTGGGAGCTGTTCGATTTTGCAAAATATGAGGAAACTGAAAACCCGCGATGCTGGATTCTGCGTGTCGTGGAATTAACCTTACCGCAATTGCAGGTTCCTGGGGATGCCGCCAAATACACCTGATTTTATTTTATTTCAGCATCGAGTTATTTCCTATTTCATTCTTTCTAATTAAGTTATTTTCTCTTGGGAACCTATTTATGTATTGTTTTTGTTTCTATTTGGAGAGACTTTTGCCAATTGTAATGTTATTTGGAGATGTTTTCTCTATCGGAATATTGTATCTTTGGATTTCTTCGAGTGGTATGTCTGTAGCCTGGTAGGATCAAAGTAGTAATCTCTCTCGAATGTTCGAAAACCTCCTTCGTCTTCCAACTTGCAGCAAGCTATTGTTCACAGCAGGAAAATTGTTGTTTTCTGTTCCAGTTCGCCGTCTCGTTGTCATCCACACCATAATTTTTGTTGTCATCTAATCTCCCTATCCCGTTACTCATCCTAACTTTTCTAATGTCTTTTTGTATTTCCTCGCATCTCCTAAGGGCCCTAGAACGGTATCATCTAGCATTATGATCCTATAAAAAACAAACCTTAATTTTTTAGAAATTCATGGTTCCTACACCTACACAAAGTTCCACAACCTCAATTATCAACTAACTCAATACCCCACTGATCCCTCCTATAATTTCTAGTCCTAAACCTAAAACTTTTAAAATCAAATTCACAAAAATTTCGCTGACACCTGTCTCCAAACTTAAGCCCCCAACCAACCTTAATTTGTAATCCTACATTTACTAGAAATCTGATTAGGAGGAAATGATGACATGCCACCAAGAAGAAACTCTCAGCGAGGTATCCAAGAACTTGCTAAGAAGGATATACAACGAAATATTTTTCAATTGCAACAGAGACTTATTGCCTTTGAGATGAGACAATCTGGTGATAACACATATAGCCACAACAGTTACTCGTCGGGCCGAGAGAGGGAAGAAAATATCATTCACCAAAAAATTTCTACTGAGAAAGAACCAAAACCCCTGCAATTTGGCATGAAATATCAGAGAAAGTGCCAAGATTTTGGAGTGAAGATTGACTTATCAGATTTTAATAATTGCATGGATACGGACAAATTCATCGAATGACTCCAAGCAATAAAATAAATCTTTGAGTAAAAGGGCATTTCACCGGGGAAAAAGGGTAAAACTAACCGCCATTAAATAAATAAAGGGTGCATCTTTGTGGTGGAAGAGCCTGAAACGTCTTTGACAGTGAGAAGTGAAAAGCAAAATCACTACTTGATCTAAGATGGAAAGGGAGATGCAACACAAATACCTTTCTCCTATACTGTCGACAGAATATGTTCATAAAACTTTATAACTTATGCTAGCGAGATTCTTTTGTGAAGCAAACAATTGAATTTGATTAACTCATGCTAAATTGTGATTTGGTGAAACAAGAGGAGCACACGGTAGTGAGGTATCTGGAGGAATTGAGGTTGTCTTTTGAAAATATACTCGATGTACAGACCCTATCTTTAAAGGTAGAGAAATAGCAATGCTGACCATCACATCTTATAAGCATAATTCAATCCCAAGATCAGATAATAAGAATACGCACAGTGGAGATCCAAGTCTACTTTGCTAGAGAAAAAAAAATAAGTTTAGAGTGGAGACAATATGGAAACCTATAGCACTCCCAAATCCGCCCAGCTAGAAAATACTTCGTATCATGGCTTTCGGCACAATACGTCTGATTGCCCAAACATAAGGGTGATATCTTTCTTTGAGTAGGGCGCATTGGAGGAGGGTGAAGAATTAGAATGAAGAGGAATACCAACTACCTGCAAATAAGGGAGAGTTGTTAGTATCTGATGGGTCTTTTGAGATTGAACCTACAAGAAAACAACAATGGGTCTACCACATATATTTCGCACCCACTGCGTTGTGAAAGAAAATGTGGGCTATCTTATTATGGATAGTGGAAGTTATAAAAATGTAGCATCTACAAATATGACGGATAAACTGAGTCTAACCACTCAAACATTTCCAACTATATTTTCTGTCGTAGTTGAAGAAAGACAGTTGACAAGAGATGTCTCGTGGAGTTTTCTATGGGACACAAGTTACAGTGTCAGGCTTGGTGTGAAGAAGTGTTTGGATGTGTGTCACATTCTTTTTGGCCAATCAAGGCAATATCATAAGGTTACACTTCAAGATGGCCACATAAACAATTGCCAATTTATCAAGGATGATAAACAAATTGCACTTCTAGTGTTGAAGGAGACAATCGAGATGGGCTTAGTGGCTCGTGTCGTATTTCTACAGGCTACGAGAGAGGCACAAGTGAAATTGGCTTTGGTGATGCTAGAAAACAGTATCATGGAAGAGATGAAATTTGAGGCAGTGTGGCCCTCACTAGAGAATTTTCAAGATTGTTTGAGCTTCAGTTTATCCCCTGGGTTGCCACTATTGAGAGTACTCCAACATGTCATCTCCTTAGATAGAAATGATAATTTTAATAGCAATATTAGGAAGGCCCTATGGAGTAAGTTAGGTGCTAAATTCCAGTTCAGCTATATAGCACACCCACAAACAGATGGCTAAAATAGAATGGTGAATCACAACTCTAGAAATATACTTAGATGTTTTGAAAAAAAAACATTAAACAGTGGGATACGAGTCTACTTAGAGAAGGAAAATCCTCCTAGCCCGAGACAATGATGCAAGTGTTGCTCGCTCGCGCAAGACTGTGAGAACCAAATTCACGCTATGCAGGGTTCGACGTATTGTGGAATTAACTTTAATGCAGCCTCGGGTTACCGGGGATGCAGCCAAAGATGGGACCAAGATATCACGTACCTTGTCGAATAGACATTGGATCGTGATACTGTGTCAGTATCACAAAATCGTGATACTGACACGATTACGGGAGATGGGACCAAGATATCACATTTCCTTTTTTTTATTTTTCTCCATATTTTTTACAAGTTTCCTTCCTTTTAAAGTCCTTTCCTATTTTCTTATTTTTTCAATTAAAAAATTTTCTATTGGGAGACTTATATGTGTTGTAATAGGATTTTGAAGTTTTAGTTTCCTAATTTGATAAATTGAGAAGTATTTCCTCTGAATTAGCTCTCTGGAGTGTTGTATCATTTCCTTTTGTAGATGATGTGTCTAAATATTGCATAGGAATAGGCGGTGGAACCCCATGCCGCCCGTATACCACCGTATTGTCGTCTTACCTGCTGATTTTTAGCAAAAGCAGCCGTCGAAGTTGTTGTTTAAGTAGAAACCGTCATTTATCCCTTCAAATTCGTTGTTCAACCACCCATACCTCGCCGAATAGACATTGGATCGTTGTTTGCAGCCGGAACAACGGTCGATCGATGCCAAAATGCTGTCCAACAACCGCCTTATCCCAATAATCGACTCCTAACGCCGTCGAACTCACATATTACAGTTCCCTTGCCATTCCACAATCACCACTCCTCTAAAAACACGCTTCCCGAATACCATGTAGGAGCCTTAGAATAATATTATTTAGTATTAGAGCCCGGCAAGCCTTAGAATTTTTTGAGTTGTCTTTTCTATCCCAATCCAAAATTCCAAAAAAAAAAAAAATCCACACCATTCTGATATCCAACTATACAGTTAAATTAAAGCAATACAGTTAACCGAGATGTTAAAAAAGTCATGAAATTAACCAAGGGGAATATACGGTCGGACGATGAATTTTAATATTTTTTAAATTTGTTTTCTAGAACTAACATTTAACAAATGAAAGATCCACTACATAAAATAAATTAAAACATTACATTGAAATTTTCCTCATTATCGGTTGACCCCATCTTCTATAAACATTTTATCTTCTATTTTTCATCTTTTAATCAAATAATTCAAACCTGAAACGATAGTTTGAAAATAACAACGAACTAATCATAGTCAATGAATACTCATACTCCTAAACTATAGTAACACAATGAAAAGAATATAATATGCACGTTAGTTTAAACTTTATATGAATCAATCAAAGAGTATTTGATTATTTATATTATCTAATATGATCATTCAATGTAATTCTAGATATTCACTATTTCTTACTGTTATATACAAATATCTTTTTAATTTGTATATAACCATTATAGAAGCATCGTTCAAAAATTTGTACTAAAGTACTTCAATATATATTTTTTTTCATTTACGTTCACGGGTACTTTAGTTTTGCTCCATTAGTATTATAAAGAGATGACTCTATTAAAGTCAAACATGCACATACAAACAGACAAAATAAAAAATCTCATTCTTATTCATAACATTCAGTATATAATATAATATCTTGAATTATGCATTTGATAGACATATATGAACATTAGTGACATACAATTCAATAGGATCAAATGAACTTAAAAAATAGATAAATCATTTTGATTTTTAGTCTTGCATTATAAAATCTATCTAAATAATTAATAAAGTGTATTAAATTTAGAAGAAATCAAATACTGCTATAATTTAAAAGTAATAGTACTCAATTCGCTTTCAAATGACTTTTACTTGCTTTAAAGTTTTGAAATATGTTCTATAATAGAATACATATAAATAATTATAAAATATTATTATTAGTAAATTAATTAAATGATATATCATTATTTATAACTGAAATAGTGAATTTATAACATTTTATAAAATTTGATACTAATATGGATTTATGTAGTATTATTTAAATAAATTATCACTACAATTCAATATCTTTATTTGACATAATTTAGGATTTAATTATTAAGGATGAATAGTTTATTTTATTATCAAAATTTGACATCAATTTATTTACAAGTAAAATAATACTTAATTTAAATTTTACCTGAATAAATTTTTCGATTTATCAACTCACCAACACTTCTCCCTTATGTGCATAACCGAGCCCAAAGTCCTTCTCAGTCTTCCTAACCTAAATTAATATAACTTCATATTAACATTATCTTAGAATTAAGTGTTTAATCAACATAAATTAGATGCATAATTGAAATTTCACCTCAATTCCTCTTATTGCAAGGTCAACAATTCCTTTAGGATCCTCTTTAACCCCTCGTATATTGTTGTTAATTCTTCCATCCTGTTTTATAATTATGATTAACAAAACAAAATCTATATAAATTGTTTAAATGCAATTTAATTAATATAGTTAAAAATCTAAATAGTATTAAATCCTAACAATTACCTCAGTTGTCAAGATCTCTTTCACAAATATTAACCTCTATCTTCCTCCAAATTCGAAACTTAATGTGAAAGCTTCGATCCTGATTTCAAATGCACTTAAATTTAACATTTAAATAATAAACATATATATATATGTATACATATGTATGTATACATATATATGTATACATATGTATGTATGTCTACAGATATGTATGTCGTATGTAGACATACATATCTGTAGACATACATACATATGTATACATATATATGTATACATACATATGTATACATATATATATGTATACATATATAGATGTATATGTATAGGTATGTATATATATCTATGCATACATACTATATATATTATTAAATTAATTATTAAAACATACCCCTAAAATATCGATCGAAAGCCCTTATGCACGCACAATAGCTCTTTTTCCTCTATTAGGGCTTGCTCAAAAGACCTTACACAGACACAAGTCCTCCTCTTCCTCTACTACTTCACAGGAGCTCGACTTCAATGCTAATGAGTTGATCTACTCCTTTTTAAACTAAATGAGCATGGTAGCCTTCACATTAGAAAAAAAAAAAAAAAAAACTACACGAACCTTCCTACTTCTTTGGCTTCTTCTTCTCCTTCGGCTCCGTGTGTGGGATCGTCCAAGCAGCAACTTCGACGCTTTCACTAGTGTCGCCTTCTTCATATGCACTCTCTGGCATGGCGAAGCACAAGCTTGCACGCATTGTCAATCTTCCATCCTACGTATGCGTCAATCAGTTCCCCAGGTAAGTCATTCATGATGGGAGTCGACATTTACTACCTTTGGCATCGTTCCTCGTAGACGAGCATTCCTCTTTCTTCTTGTTCTTATTCCTCACCTTGCTCTCTCTTGTTATGTCTTCTGTTTCGTTTCTACTATTACTTTGGTTCGAACGAGGTGCCAACTCTTAATATGAAACTGTTGAAACGCTTCGTTCGAACGAACACAACTAGTTAGAATGATTTTGTTTATTTATTTATTTATTTTTTTTAATCTTTTTATATTACAATGTCCCCTCCTTATAAAAATTTCATCCTCAAAATTAAATTTGCAACATCTTCTCCAAGCCTCGAATCACTTTTCATTAAGCAAGTAAAACTTAAAGTATCCATAAGCATTCATGAAGAAGTTTAAATCTCATTCAACAAGATAAAACATGGATATAATAAAACAAATATATGATATAAGATAACTCAACTAAACTTTCCCCATCAACTGAAACAGAGTAACATCACACCTTAAGCAAGGTAGCATAGCAACAACACAATACATCCTCTCATAGATACATACACTAGAATGACACTCCTGTAACATATGATGAAACATAAAACTCCTCAATTTCTAGAAGCATCAACATCAACAGTAGGTTCTACAGGCGCTCTGCTTGTACCGAAATAAACCCGAGCACAAACAGGTTGTCTTGAATGGCCTTTGGTGGGAGCTGAAGCTAAAGACTCTATCATTTTTTGCACATCTGCAGTCTTCTGTGAAGGAGCTCTAACTATTCCTGATCTTCTTATATTTTCTGACCAAGTGACTGACAATATCTAGCTATGTGACCAGGCTGATGACATCAATAACATGTATGAGAGCCCATCAAACCTTGGCCTTTATTTTATTTTTCACATTTGACACAAGTGATTACAATACTACGAGAAGTGCCGCCACTGAATTTATCAAAATTTGAATTTGAGCTTCTTCATATTAAATCCTTCTAATTGATACGCATGCTCTCTTTCATCAATACTCTTTCTCATGTGTGTCTCCTCATGCTTCTAAATAACCTAGAAATCAATCTCTAATTGTCTAGCCCGCTCCACTAACATTGAATAGTCATAGATACCCAAAGGCACCAAAAGCAACAACGGTTGTTTGATCGAATCCTTCAATCCCGAAAGAGATTTGTGGCATTTCTCTGATGCAGTAGCTATCAGCTGTGGGGAATACCATGACAGTGCAATGAACTCTGCTTCATAATGCATGTTTGTCTTCTCTCCTAGCACTAACCTAAAGAATTTGTCTTACATTTGTCTTCGAGCGAATAGGGTACAAACCAATCAATGAATAGCTCCACAAACTCCTCCCAACTTATCATCATGTTGGGTGTGCCCCCTAACTTGTCTTAATGTTTCTCACGCCACCACCTTTCGGCCCGTCTATCCAGCACAAAAATAGCTAAAGATACTTTTCTTTCATCCAGACACGCCATGCTATCTAGTATCTTTCCTCTTCTCATCAGTCAGTTCTTCACTTCAATCAGATTTTTAGATTCCTTGAAACAAGGTGAACGCAAATCTTGAAATATCTTCAAGTACTTATTCATAACAATAGTCTCACCCATACTAGGCTGCAGTCTTGATTCCTGAATCAGCTGAGTCATCGCCACCATCATCTAGGTCAAGACATTTGTGTTTGAATTTACAAAAGAAGGTACTTCCTCATTTTCTATCCCATTCCCCTCTTGCTGAATCTCAGGTGCATCTATTTGCCTGAATTTAAAAAGATCACTTAATTAATAATTCATTTAAAAAATTATTATTAAATTTTCTTGTAATTATCTTATTGGCTTTTTCATCAAGATTATTATAATTAATCATAAACATTTCTCTGATACCACTTTTGTCAAGACCCAGGTTAGGTCGTGACACTCACACCTCAATAATTTTGAAAACAATTTATATCCATTAGCTATTTTCATATCGCTTTGGGATATTTGTTGCAACAGAATCCTGCAATACTACATTATGAAGCTTGTTTCGACCAAGCAAGTCAAGCTAACGAGAATATTCAAGAGATGCATTAACTTGTTTAATTTTTTTGCAGCTAGTCTTCAGGTACGTGTAGGTTCTTAAAATAAAGAGAGTCCATTCCCACATTCTTCAACATATGTTTGTGTAGAGACCCATCCACTTGTTGCTCAAAATAAAAATTTTAGCTCTATAACATGTGAAACTTAATATCGCAAGAACATGAAATAGAATAAATTACATAAAGCACAAGAAATTTATAAAATTACAAACTTAAAATAGTAGTAATGACGATTCTATAAGCATTAAATTCTTAACAGCAGCAAACACAAAAGTTGGTCAAGGAGATTTATGGACCTTGTTTCAATAATCATAAAAGACAATTTAATCATTGACAAGAGCTAAGCGAGTTACTTTGATAACATGGTTCATCCACCGAAATACAAGAAATAAACAATATTATACAGAGGCAACTGAGTTCTCTGCATGAATATCAACATATATTCAATAGATCTAAATTACTAGATATCTTGTAAATGGCAAGTAAAACTTTGTAATCGATATTAAAGGCTATCAATATCAACAATATAGGTCCAGAAAAATCATTTAAATTTCACCCGTTAAAAGTTAGATTTTCCAAAGATATTAACCAAAAAAAAAAAAAGTTATCGTGTTTAATTTGCAGAGTATTCCCATAATGTTTACATAGAAAACTTCATAATATTGGAACATGACATCTGACAGCACTGGTTATATTATCAAGAAAAGAAATATTACTTCTATCTAGTGCAACTTTCATATTAATTATATTTACATACCTCTTTGTAAGGCCTCGATTAACACCCCTCATAATATTTAATTAAAATTTCATATTTTCTAAAAGACAGAAGAGTCCAAAACTAGAAAATCAGATAAAAATCAAACTTAATAAAAGCTGGAGAAGTTTTATACCACCGTCGAGTATCCAACTGAAAGCCATATAACTCATTCATAAATAAGCTCATTAGCACATCACCTAAACAAACCAAAATGCAGAAAAATGTTAGCCATACATCATAACATATATGTAAGGAAAAAGTTTCATTTCAGCCATGCAGGTCTTTGTTCATCATCCTGACAATTTACAAAAACATTCATTTGTGTGCACAAAATAGCTAGCAATCTAATAAATATAAACAAAAAAAAAGCAGTAATATATATAAAAAAATAATATATAGCGCGTCATATCACATTTGTTCATAATGAAATGCATTCATATTCTTTCTAAATGTTTCAATTGGATCTCAACAGTCATATTGATGTAATTTAAAATTTTCCATACACATTAATCCATTGATAAATCAGGTACTTTATGCAGCTGGTAAGCTGAGAGTATTCAAGAGTTTCAGAAGTACCAAACATGTTTGCAAACATTTTCGTGCTTTTTTTTTAAAGAAGAGATTAGCAAATCAGATGTCAGAATTGCAAGACTTATTAAAAGAATTAAGAAATAAATTAAGTGTAAATTTTAAAAATAAACATGACCAACCTTCAGCCTCCATATCAACAACTCCTCCAAATAGCACAGCCCTCTTTTTGTGAATGCACGTAGAAAAACTAGCACGAGGACCAGGAGGTATTCCAACCTTCTTAACCTAAAAATGAAATTCAGGCAATAAACATCAGAGGGGACAACTGAGTTAATGCAATGTCTTATGAACTGATGAAAGATTGCATGAGAAACGTGCCCTAATAAAGTGAAAATGTTATATGAAATGTAAAATAGTTAATCGCTTATGTCAATAACAAATCAACTGGTAAGAAGAAAAAAATTACCCTGCAAAGAAGAAAGATAAAATAAAATGGTGTAGAACAGGCACACACGTAGATGAATGAATTTTTTAAATTCCTAGAAGCATATGAGGTTTTATAAATGAAACCCCCTGCCAGAATATTAAGGATTTGTAAGAGATGTTAGTAAAAAATATCCAGGTTTCAAAGAACCCTAGAGCATATATATAAGGGTTTCATGAACCAGGAATCTATGCTATAGTATGAAGATATCCCGTCATAAATTCCCTAACTTCTAAGAATCTAACTTCTTATTTTTTAAAAGAAAAACCTTTTAAATGCCATTATATAAATGCTGACAGGAATTCTGGAAACATTTTTTGGAATGGAATTCCAAATCCGTTGATGTTCTTTCTGCTCAGGTTCGAAAACACTCTATTATCATCTATTTCTATGATAAATGGAAAATTATGATTTTCTTCTTAGAAATGTCTATGCCCCTTCTAGAGAATGTGATAAACGACTTTTATGAAGCAAACACTTGAACTTAAGATCCAATTGATCTTCTAAGTGGTTTATTTGTGTTGATTTAAGTGACAAATTGACCTGTGATGCAAGTTCCTCAAAAGCTATAAAAGTTCTCTATTTATTGGTTAACTTCAATTTCTTTGACCTTTCCATGGGGATGTAAGGTACCTCATTTTGCCCAATAATAAATTTGAATTTTTTTGTCAAATTGAATAATTTCTTCAGCTTTCCTTTTCGTAATGCTTTTTTTTCCTAATGGCAGACCAAAGACCATCAGCAAAATTTTCTCAATTCATTGTTCATTTATTTTCAATTCAAATCTCACTACAAAGCCCAAGTTTCATATCTTCATATTTGAAAATTTAAAATCCAACAAAGATTCAAGAATGCAGTTTCAAATTGCCAGATATGTTTTGCTATACAAAGGGATGGTGAAAAAGGTGCAAAAGATTACTATTTCAGTTTAAACTAACAAGAAGAAGCCTCAAAACATGAAGATAACAGCCCTTGATCAATCGAAAGAAGAATTTCATGATTGCTAAACTCAATCAAAGAGAATCAAAGCAAAACCAGATCTCTGGTCCATGTTCAATCGAACAATGTGAAAAATATCACCGAAGAAAAAAATGGCTACATAACAAACATAATGAAAAAGAACAGAAGTCAACTGATTTTAAGTGATGATAGAAACACTTCTTTCTGAGCCAATAGAAGGCAGAATTATTTCAACAATCTATGGACTACTTTATTATTGAGCAAAATGATCTGTTACTTGCTTTAGCTAATCTCTCCAAACAACTCTTAAGAAGAATTTTTGCCACGGCATCTGTTGATTTCCGTAAGCTTACCTTTCTAATGATCCTTGATTATTTGTTGATTCCCCGTTTTCTTTGGAAGAAGTAAAAGTTGCTATCTTTTATCTTGAAGCCTCTAAATCAGAAGATCAAGATGGCTTCTCAATTATTAAGTTCCTTTACAATGAGATGCCAAAGTTTAATGAATAAAATCATGAATTATTCAAAATGAATGATCAGTTACAATTTATATAAAAGACATAATTTTGGAAGAAAATCTAATGGAAAAAGATCTAATAAAAATTCATTTTCTTAATAGTAAAATGATATAGAAATCTATAAAAAGTTATGCAAAAAAACTATATTATAGAATAATAGTTACTAAGTAGTTAAGACTTCTACATCTACTTAATTCATGGATATCATGCAATTAGAGCAAAGCTGTTTAACAAATTAATAAGCAAGGGTGAGTAATAGAAGGAAATAACGAGCGAGAAAAAGAAAATGAGAGGGCAGAAACAAAGAGTATGACAAAAAAGAAAGGAAAAAGTGACCAACTACATGGGCAAAATGGGATGAGTGAATAAGCGGGTGATGTGCATTGTACAAGTGAATGTGAGAAAGCAGATTGTAGCAAAAGGTGACCAGCAAAGTGTGTGGATGAGTTGAGAAGAGCACAAGCACAAAGAACCCTGCACTAATTTGATTTTGTGTATGTATTTATGTATGTATATATATGTGTGTGTGTGTGTGTGTGCGAGCGCGTGCGTTCGTGTATGCGCCGCATACTCAGATCAGTTGGTCGGACATCTGGTTGTTAGTTGTAAGTCCCCTCTGGTCTGGGGTTCGATTCCCCCCCCCCCCCCCCCGGGGGCGGGGGGGGACCGCGGTCT